TTCGAGAGTTGTATACAATAACGATAAACCGAAAATCAAAAGCCATCAACCGTACGTACCCCTCCGCTTAAACGCATGGCAACGGCAATTAATTTCCTGACCAATCCCATCACCTTCATGACCATCGATTCCTAACATAATCCCCATTCTATTCATATCTTCATACTTTATCGAGTTATGGCATCTGGAATAAAAGGAGCAAGAAAGAGATCACTACAGGTTACGAAGTTCCATTCCATCAAATTACCAATGAGCTGGTCTGGATTGAAGGAGGAGATGTCGTTGGATAAAAGTTATCTGTAATTCAGCCCTACAACGGCTAGGGTGATTGCATCATTATCCCTGCAACGGAACTTTCCGACCTCCTATGGTTCGTGCGCGTACCTCACGAGTTCCCCCTTCATTGGCTAGATCTTTGACCAATTACAATTTTCTCAAATTTCAAACTTGTTGTTCCTTACTTACCTATGGTCGATCTTCTATTTCACGCGTGTCATAGTTTTGAAAATGTAACTGTAATAGAAACCTTTTCTCTCCTATTTAACCAATTAACAGTACGATCGACAGTAAATCTACCAGTAGTTGTGCAGCAAAGAGTGAGAATTCTCACTTAGATTTTGCTCGGGGCCCCAAAGGTCTCTAATATTAATGTGGCTTTCAACTTCAACGCGATTTCAGTCCCAAATATACGGTTACCACTATAAGCTATGGAAAAAAAACCAGCACTAGCGTCTGTCAACCAATGAAAACCTCTTTGGGACATGAACCCATCCTAGTGATCCATGAATGTCGCCCCGTTGGTATAATGACGTCACCAAAACATCGAACATACCCCAAGTTTTCCAATTCTTCAAAACCTAGTCTCGGACGCTTTTTTTTTCATTGATGCAGAAATACCGCCAGGGTGATCCGAGACTATTCAAAACCCGGGCGATATACAGCAAAAGATTTTCACGATGCCCTAGGTGAGTTATAGAATGCTCGAGGTGTGGATAAACTTAAACTTAAACTTAAAGTGTGGTCTGTGCACTCGGGTAAGGCTGAGATTCCGGTAGCGACGTCATAGAGTACACTACATGCCAAAAAATCAAAACGTGCACAACAAACTTTTTCATCTGCAATTGTTACTAGGACGGGGACAACAAGAAAAAATTGCAGTTTTGATGCCAGTTCAAGAACCAACTAGCTTCAGTCACGTTTTTTCAACAGTAGTATTAGTGCTAGGTAGAAGTATTACAGTAGTAATATCCCATCAAGCATTATTGCACCAAATTCCAAGCACCTATATGCAACCATGACCAAATCCCCCACATTGATTTTTCGTCATATCACCACCTAGCATCAAACCGAGATCCTACTCCTCGTTAGCCTTCTTCACCCAGTTTCCCCCCTTTAGGTAAACATACCACCTCCCCATCCAGGTCTCAGTAACATTCTTCGCTTCATCCACCAGCCCCAAATCCAAACAAATCTGCACCGCGCCCCTAATCGCACTCTCAAGCGCACTCGCAATCCACGCATGCGTATAACTAGTATGTTCCCCTATGAAAACCGTTCCATTTATTGTCTTGAAATACTCCGGAATAAACAGTTCATGTTGTCCCGCATTCGGATTCGCCCACCCAGCGCCGATGTTGGCGTCGAGGACCCAGCATTGGCGGTAGTGTCTGCTACGCTGTTAGAACGGGGAAAGGGGAAAGGGGAAAGGGGAGGGGAGGGGAGAAAAACAGGCCGGTGTATTCCCGCCACACGACGGGACCGTGGATTTCAGCCATTGCTTCGAGTGTTTTTTGGACGTGTACTTCCTCCGTTAACGCTACCTGCCGGATTGCGATGTCGCCGGCAGAGTATGAAGCCAGGAGTACTCCCGGGCCGGAGGAGTTAAGATGGTAGGAAGGGTAGCAGAAACTTCCGATGCCTGGGATGTCCGTACGTGTGCATCCTCCAAAGATAGGAGGATCAAGTTTTTCCCACCAACGCGTGCGGAAGTGTAGTGCGATTTTGCAGGCCTGGCTGTACCCCAAGTTCGATATGGCTTGGGTTATTTCTTGGGATAGGCCTGAGAGGCGCCATTGACGGACTTGGGTAAAGGGTACGGCGATAACGGCGTAGTCGTAGGTTGCGTTTTGTAGTGTTCTGGACGTTGGAGTTTCACGCCAAAAGAGCTGAGTTTTTCCGTCAAAGGTTTTGAGCGCCTCGATTCGGCGACGGAAGTGGGTGCGGTTTAGTAAGTGTGGGGAGAAAGCCCGTGGGATTTGTTCGAGGCCTTTATCAATAGTTTTGAAGAAACTGTTGGAGAAGTATGTAGTCTCATATAGGTCTAGCCAGTATGAGTATCCCGGATCTGCACCGATTGCGTCTGTAGTAGAGAGGTTTGCCTTAAGGACGTTGTGGATGTAGGAAAACTCGGACCAATTGTCTAAGCCTTCATCGATGAAGCGTTTGTGTGCCAGAAACATGTTTTTGGCGACTTCGGCTATGCGGGATTTGCTAAGGATGGTGGAGGAGATGGTGGATTGTACCGGGTAGGAGGGAGAGGCGAAACGCGGGTCGGACGCGGAAGCACCGAGGGTTATATAGGTTCCGTTGGGGTTTTTGAGGCCTTTGATATAGTAAGGGGTGTTGGGGTTGGTTTGGATGAATTCGATAAAGTTGATTGCTAGCTAGAGGTATACAGTTAACGAAGAAGTCAGCATGATAGAAAGCGGACAACCTGCCTTGGGGTCGTGGTTGTTGAGATTATTTAGATAATCCCCAAGCTGAAATACAATCTTGTGGTCGTTTATATCTAGCGTTTCATTTGTACCCGCGTACCTAATTTGATATGGAAACCTCATCGGACCTTTAAACAATCAGCACACATTCACCCCGCGCAACCGTATCTCCAAACCCATCTCCTGGTACTGATAATCATCCGGGCCGCCCTCCAGGTAAACTGTCCTGATCCTCCCCCCAAGCCTCTTCGACGACTCCAATATCTCCCAATTCCAAAACCCCAAACTCTGCAGTAGTATCTATCATCTCATCAGCGCCACTTCACCCCCCCACATCACTCTTGCACCTACAGCAATCATCATCCCCGCCGGCCCGCCGCCCACAATTCCAATCTCTACCCAAATCAGCACGTGCCTCCTCCACCACCACCACGGGTATATATCTCACGCACTCTTTGCCTTTGCAGTCGCCTCATCAACAGTACTAACCGGATTTACCTTCAAATTCTCCACCCCGTCGAACCACGGTCCCGTAGTATCAATGCCCGTAGAATTATCCATCTTTATCCCCACCAACTGCCGCTTCTTTAACGCCTGCTGTAATTGCAGCACCCCACTACGCCCTAATACCTCTGACCGTTTCCACGCCGATAAACACCCGGACGCTGGAGCATCTACGGGAATCACCCATACTATCCGCGAAGCGGTGGTGGTGTCGATATCTTGCTGGACGACATGGTGTACCGTGGGACGGTCGGCACAAGATCCATAAGTAACCTTGTCAATGCGAAGCGCGGAAGTAGAGCGGAGATGGATATTGGCGAGACGGGAGTTCAGGTTACGGGTAGAGAGATGAACCGTAGCAGCGGTAGTGAGTGTGCAGATTACCAGGAGCGGGACGAGGAGGTACATTTTGCCCAGGCTGGGGGAGGTGTTGGTGGAAGGAGGTTGTTATATAGTGGGGTGTGGACCGGATTGTGCCTGAGAGCTGAGCGAGGGTGTGTAACAACCCTCACGTGCTACGCTTATTGGCTCGATTGCCGCCCTCGGTATTTGACTGGTGAGGGAAGATATCCGACATGGGGAAGGTACATGGCGTACTCGGGTATGCGGATTACGCGTTGCTGCTGCATGGCATCGCCGTTGTATGGTATCGGTGACAATGCTACTTCTACGTTGTCACGACAAACATCACCAACAAAACGGAAATTAAAGCACAATTTCAAACCAAGATCTACAGTAGCCTTGGTCGAAAGCATACCAAATATCAACATTTCCACCGGAAAAGCACAGAATCTTACACCACCGTTACACCCTAACTACCGTTCGAGGCGTTCGTCACACCTTCTCCCTGCACAACGGCCTGGTCTGAGCTCGACGGGAAATCACGGAATACGTACTCTACTTTAAAGCACTTTATTCTTCGTATCAGTGCGGGGCAGAACGACATTTCAGGCGTAGGCGGGGTCGTATTCGCCTTGTGTTACCCTCGTATCTTTCGGGGTGGTGAGGGGCAGAGGAGGGTGGAAAGTTTGTAAGTTAATTTAGGTGGATGGGGGGAAGGAGATTAGGAAGTACGACTTGGAAGCAGCTTCGGCTGTGGAAATACTTAGGATTAGGTTATGTCATGGCCGCAAGCGGCCGAATACAATATGATTATAAACAAACAAATCTTTCGGGAGTGACGTCATGTGGATTGTTCCTACGGCAGGGAACATGGCGATTTGGTACAAGAGTGGAACGAAAGGGCGGTGAGGAGTACACCTTCAAGCTGACGGTGGTACATGGGTGTGTGTAATTATCGAGGGTTAGTTGTACTTTACTGTGAGAAAGATGATGTTATTTGGAAGGTCGTGATTAACGAGTGGGCTAGGGTTTGTATGAGTGAAGATTTCGCTTGTTCGCCTATGATTTCTAAACGTCTGGAAAGATCTTGACTGAGATGTCACGGGAGGTTCGAACGTTCTCTGTAGAAAGTGCTTAGTGGCATGTTTTTGTCTCTGCACACTTGATCTTCGTTTTCTACAGCTTTAGATGTCTTTCAAAGCACAATCGGAGGCGTACCGGTATGTACATAGCCGCTTCGCCACATTCCCGGGCCCGATATGCAAGTGACCGTTGCTATCGGAAGTTAGATTTAACTAGGCCTTAACAAGCCAACGTTGCAACGAAGTCGAGTCCATTCGCATCTCCCTTGGATGATAACTAAGAAATCGACGTGCGGCTAACCTGCCAGAGGGGCCATGGCATCCCCTACTCTTTTACATGCTAAGCCACGGAAAAGAATGGACTGGATAGGAATCGGACCTAGAACCTTCCTATACTAGACGTATGCTCTACCAACTGAGCTACCGGCCCTTGGTGAGTGTGGATTGACATGTTCCAACATTATATTTCACACTTAACGGGAAGATGGAGCGGGTGGAGATCGGATTGAAAGGGTTCTGGATGAATGGAAGAATGAATGGAGGATGACTCTGAACGCTTGGAGGATGCAAGTGTTCCACGTGAACGATGTCCTGGTTGGTTATCAGAACAGCCTCCATAGTAAGGCTTTTCTGTCTGATTGAGCTTTCTTAGTGGACGCAATCTTATTCAGCGGTTGGAATTGATATGATCGGCTAGAGTAATGCCGTAACAGCAGCAGTTACTGGAGCTTAGCAAGGACTCTGGTTGCTACTTCTTGGAGGAGGATGTGCTTGAGCTGGTGTAGAGGCGTTAGGGTGTCGTCGTCTCGGAGCTGCTTTTCTTGCCGCGGAAATCCTTGCTTCGATGTGTTCCATTTGGCAATGGTATTTCAGTCTCGATTGTTTTAATATTTATCGATTGAATATGTCGTTCTCCTATCCCGGCCCTGTCAGACCTGCTGAGGAATACAAGCTCCGGCTCCAGAAAAAGCTACTTCAAAAGAAACAAAAACTTGTATGTATGTATATCCTCGTTCTAATGTTGTCCATGCTCGCAGCCTGCCATGGTTGCTCACTTATCGTGGAAATAGGAGTTGCCTAACTACCCCAAACACATAAAGTCTCATATGAACGTTTGAACAGAATACGTGTTTCTAAACTATATTTTCGCTTCGGAAGTTTGTGATACCAACCCAACGTTGATTTCAAAGTTCGCCCTAATTTCAAAAAGCATCGCGAACTTGAGCGTTAGCACCTTTAACCTCGTAGGTCTTGCCCTGCGATTTTCCTGTATGGATGAATCCTGACCACAGGAGACACTGCCACCGATCAGAGTTAACAAGAGTAGGAACATCAAACAGTATTTGGAAGCCATCCATGAGTAGAAAGTTGATAGCAACAGCAAGACCCAGTTTCGAGTCCAATTAGAAGCGCAACCGAAGGAGGAGGAGTGGACTTGTGAGCTGCTGACAAACCTGACCTAGTTTGGAGGCAAGGAGACAATGAGAGAGTATGTGGCTACCACCAATCATGAGAGGTTGAACAAGCTCCTCTCAAAGAATATGTGCCCTACAAACCCTTTGACACCACTAGAGTAAACCTGACAGTGGGCAGCCAAAATTAAGGGGCTGTCACTGAGACGGAGGAGGATGAGAATAGCAACCATACAAGATTCAGGTTTTTGAACGTTTTTGCTTTGTTTTTATACTGAAACCTTTTTGTAGAAGGAGGTGGATGTATAGTGTATGATAGTCATGTAGTCACATGTGTGGCTCAACTCCGTATATACATAGATCATGTCGCTTAGAAAATAGATATGACACTTCTAGCACACCATTTATGCAGTGGTACATCTACAATAAGAGTGTTAATTCTAATGTTTCCTGCTGCAACTTTAGTACCTTTGTGAGTAAGCTTGTATATAGGCCTAGTTTGCAATTTGTAACTCATTTTGAAGGATTTAGATGTGGGATTGTAGTTGTTGAATTGAACAAGAGTCTGGAAGTGAGGTGTCAAACAGGGTTGCTTTTGGCCGCCAACAATAATGAGGTGCTACACAGTAACCCCTCCCTGTCCATCAATTTTTATAGCTCCCACTAATACACATCGTTCCCCTCTAACGCATGTTAAGTACATATAGCCGACTCCTAAAACCCATTTGGTCTACCCTCTGTTCTCTAATCCTCTCTCAGCAAAGACGGAGATTGAAATCCTACTTGTAATTGCACATCAGCGCAAAGTACTACAGTAGTCTGGTGTACGACCTCAAACACCACCAATATCACCGCCATTTCACTCTTTTTTGTCAACTATCCACTTCATCACCACTCCCTTCATCACTCCCTCCATCACTCCCTCCACCACCACCACACGCAGCCATACAGGTAAGAGTATAAAACAAGATTCAGGAGGCAGTAACCTTGGTCAAACTCCACCGCATCGCACAATAGAAACATACATACCATCCATCTCTACCACCACTCCAACTAATTACTAAAGCGCTATTTTCCTTCCATAACTATCGTTGCCTCGCTTTACACCACCTCAGGTACAGTTCAATTTGCGACCCTTGTATTTGCTCTTCGTTCACGAAAACACTGCTGTAGTTGCCGCCATCGGGGACCAATGGAGATGCCCGTAATCATTGGGGTCTGAGTGTTGACAATTAATCTAGACCTAAAAGTCATCAAAGCTAGGAAAATGAGGACTCCATAAATTTGGAGCGATGAAAAGAGAAATAATCGAATAAACCTTTTTGACGGAAAATGAGGCTCAAACCATTTTAAATATACTAGGCGTCCCTAACTGGAGGGATTATTCCAGCTCAACTCCCGCTTCTTGATACCAGTTCCCACGTAGCCGCCGGCTGCATATTTGTTGCTGGGATTAAGTACGTAGCGCATATTGCGCTTCCAAACTACAACTATGACTGCTGGATAGGAGCCCACCGAATGATATCCATCAAGTAACATGCATGTGTTCCGTACGATTGATGAACCTGCCAGTTCGCGAACTGATAAAGGCCGGTTCGCGCAAATTTTGCCCTGTTCACAAACCCTTTGTCCAGTTTGCGAACCGCAGAAAAGTTCACGAACTGGCCATTTTTAGCGAACCTAACACATGTTTCTGGCGAATTCTTCTCTAAATGTGCTCCTATTCCCAGATCTTGTCACTCATAAGTATTGAAAATGGTAGTAAGCACTGTGAGAAAGTTTAAAAGTGATACTGTTTCCTTTGTCTATTGATCTCTCTATATAAGACTAGATTGACCACCTCCAATTCATCAGGCGATACTGGGGGCAGATGAGCAGATTTCCAACAGCAAGTTCACTTTTAACTAGGGTAGACAAAAGTCTGAGTGCAGCAGAACTTGCATTCGCCGGCACCTCTTATGGTATGAGTGTGGATTAACTCCGATTTAGTTCGCCTTATACCTTAATGAGTTCATTTATTGGCCATCCGGTTTGCAAACTTTCCATAAGTTCGCGAATGGGCCTAAGTTCGCGAACCAGCGTGGTTCGTCAGTCGGACGGAACACATGCATTTCACACACCGCATATCTCTTCCAGAACTTGTAATATATATGCGTTGCCTGATCACCGATATATTGAATCAAGGCTGGTGAGGTGAGAATTTGAAGCTGTCAGGCGCTCAGAATGGACTTTCTACATCGAGCTCTGTATATTTGGAAACACCAGTCACCAGTTACCGAAATGCGTCGTTATTAACCGTTCTTTCATTGGATTACTCCAGAGCCTTGCACCTGTTTCTTATCTCGTGCTCTTCCGTGGATACACAGTTACGTCAAGCTAGAGACATATGTAAAGAGCGTGCGCAGATTTCTTAGCCGGAGGCCACTTATTGGGTTGGAGAAGTGATACCTATGGCGGTGGTTTACTTGGAGCTCAATATCTCGGGTATTTTCCATTCGAATGTGTTATATTAAATGCAGTCAGCACCGCACAGCTCCCTTCAACAATTGTTGAAGGTTCCTGGTAGAATGACTCATTGCGGACTGAAACCCCCCACTCCCCTCCTTCCTCACACCGAGTCAATGTTGAGATATATCCGAAATAGGCTTGCAGAACTTGGATCCGCGGTTACTGTTTTGGGGCTGCGCGAGCTGGGCTCTCGGATTGCAGTCTTTAGGAATGCTCTCACCTTCGGAAACTGGATTATATTTAATCAGAGAGGGACTCGTTTTTCGGAATTTCACTTATCCCCAACGTCGGCGGGATTCAGAGTCATTTAAAATGCGTACATTGAATCTCATGTCAGTTTCAAGTGGAAGATCATATATGAATACTAAGTATCTCATGCTGTCCCTCCCTTAAGCATAGTTGCAAATGACGTGGTGTATCCGCTGTCATGGAAGCAAAAAACCAATTCCGCGTAATATCACGAATGATTGGTTCTGGGGTCTGCATAACATCCGGAATTTTTATTCCATGCAAATCAGGTTATCTAACTATAAATCAAGGAAAAGCAACGACCAGTCTTAATAATTTTCCTAGTGGTTGGTCGGCTGGACGGTTCACAAGTGCAGATAGTCATTTATCGAAGGTTATCATTATATATGCGGGTTGCCGTAGCCGTGAACCTATGCGGAGTGAACTGTATGTAGGGACGTGGGGGCAAGCTGGAACCTGCTCAAATTATTGGCTGCAGACTTTACGATGAATGTGGCTACCCATCAAGTAACAGAAACTGGCGTGGTGGTGGCTCGCCTGTCTGCGGGGTTTGGACTAGAGCGGAGTTAAATTCAAGGACACCATCTCCACATATCGCAACAGTGCGCTGTCCCATCCCTACTCGTCATCTGTGCCAACAGTGGGAACGACCATTATTGGAGAGCCTACACCGGAGATGAATCTAAATAAATAAGACGCACATGCCCAAGAGGCGTGTGGCACCCTCCAAGTTGAAATTTGAACCCGAGGAATTGGTTGAACGGCGCTGTAACAGCTTGGGGTGGTATAATGCTTTGGTGCGCGCGGCCCCTCTGAAATGTTCGTCACCCTCGAACTACTTGATTCCTTGTGGATCCTCCTAGATTTTTGAAGTACACAGTTCAGAAGCGACTTTTCAGAAAGATGCCAAACGCCGGTACTGACCAGGCTGCAAGCTACTCAGAGATTGGCCAATCCCCGGTCTTTCGATCCATCTGTGAATCAGGTGACGATTGATAGGCTCCCCTGTTTCCTACAGCTGACGTCTCGACCCCTGCGCATTCCTGGGAGGTGGAGCTAGCAGTCAAAGATGAATCCGATATATCCCGGACCATCGCACGCGCAAAAGATTTTGGAAGTGCGCTGTTCCAACACATATAATTACATTCTGTCTACGCACGCGTTCACGGCGGAGCGAAATTAAACAAACGCCTGAGCGGCCGGTGTACCACCCCCCGAGATATAGATGATCATGGGAATGGCCATTGTTTTGTTAGATAGT